GGCCAGTCAGGGCAAAAACAGTTACACCCACTCACAAAAATAAGTAAAACAAAAAGTTACGTGGTGGCGTGCCTCAAATGGTAGTGTGAGACCCTGAGTTCAAAGTCTTAAGTACTGCAATAAAAAAAAACCTGTATCCTCAACCCCAAAACCTGGCAGAGGAGTATTAAGATTTCAGTTGGCAGTATCCTGAATCTCTCAGGTAGACTAATGGATTTATCATACAGTCCTTTGGGTAGGTGTAAAAAAAATAGTGCTCAAAGATACATCCTCTTTATTTCATTGACATATATACATGAGGAATCTGCTAATAGCTAAGAGAAATTGATGTACTTACCTAAAAGCCATGCAGCTCATTTGAGATGGAGATAGAATTGACATATCCAATTCAAGGAACCTATTCATCCTTCATGGTTTCTCTTACAAGCTCTCAAAGAGCGGTTATGAGCTGATGCAACAAATGTTTTTCCAACACGTCCTAAGTTTTGAGAAAAGAGTAGTAAATAGGGTGCCACAAAACCTCTGCTTCCCGAACCTGACATTCTGGTAGAGGAAATGTCTAATGATTTGTTAATAAGAACATAACTCATGTTGCATTAAATGACAGATGTCATACAGTAAGTAAAGCCAGGTCAAATATGAGAGGTGGGAGAGGTATAAGGATGAGGTGTGCAAATGATGCCCTCTAGGGCCCACAGCCTGTTGAGGAAATCATATTTCCCTAGTCTGTGCATATGTGAGTGCCATAGCAAGCCCCACTTTCAGAATAGGGTCTGGTATCTGCAGATGAAAACTTGCATGGCAGCCCCACAATGCTGTCCTGCCAGAAACCCTCCCTAAGCCTGCCTTCTAACTTCTCTCTCTCTCTCTCTCTCTCTCTCTCTCTGGAAGTAGCTCTCAGACTATAGACTAGTCTAGCACGAGGTGTGTCTAGGACCTGCTGCTTCCTGGAAATCAATAAACGTGTGTATCTGAGACTATTCAAACACATTCTTTAACGAAACTAAACTGCAAAAGATGTATGTTGCTAGCCACAACAAAGACAGCTCCCATGCACAGAGAAACAGTCCATTTTCTAGTCTACAGAGTATGCCATCTGCAAAGGACAGCTCTTAGATAGGGAAGACTCAGGGCCAGAAAGGATATTTAGCCCAAGTTACCCCATGAGGTAATGGTAGTCTTAGGGTTAGAGTTTACACTGGGAGAATGTCTGTAATGGAGAGCCAGAGACTTGAAGCTCTTCCATTGCTCTGGTTGATCTAACAAACCATACGCTGGAACTTCTGGATGAGTGTCTCCACCCATTCAGGGAGGGCTCTAGCCAGTGCAAGAGCCTTGGGAGGAGTCAGAGGAGGTGACATGGATACATAGGGAGCTCAGGGACTTAAGAAGCGTCACATTCAAAGTGTTTGATGTGCCATTTACAATTCACGGTGTCAATGCAGCAGGGCATAATGTCCACTGGTTGAACCTGAAACCTGCCCAAAGCTGGTGTGCCTATATAAATATTAGGGTGAAGATATAGCCAAACATGATCTCCAATGACTGCTTCTAAGTAAGAAATTTCTTCCTCTGAAATCCCTTCCTACAAACAGGGCTGGGCCTATTATTGTCCAAGTGGACATGTGTACCTGTTACCGCACACCTCGTTTCTGTGCTTAGCTTCAGCTCTCACCATCCGGAGACACTAAGTTCCCTGGGAGTAACTTCCCACGTCCACACCTGAGTTACCCACCCTTGTGTTAGATGTCTTATAAAGATACAAAAAAAAAAAATCCAGCCGGGCGCTGGTGGCTCACGCCTGTAATCCTAGCTACTCAGGAGGCTGAGATCTGAGGATCACGGTTCAAAGCCAGCCCGGGCAGGAGAGACCGTGAGACTCCTATCTCCAATAAACCACCAGAAAACCGGAAGTGGCGCTGTAGCTCAAGTGGTAGAGCGCTCGCCTTGAGCTGAAGAGCTGAGGGACAGTGCCCAGGCCCAGAGTTCAAGCCCCACGACCGACAAAAAAAAAACAAAAAACAAAAAAAAAATCCAATGAAATTTGAACTGGAGATAATAAGTATTTAGTATAAGTATGATCCATGCAATGTTTACTATACATTAATGTTAAGCCATTGTTGATTGCCCATCTGAAATTCGTTTTGTTGTTGTTGTTGTTTTTGGGGGGTGAGGCATCCTGAATTTCAGCAGGCAGGCCAATTCCTGTAGCCCATGCAGCGGCTGCTACCTGCTGCTAATACTGACTGACGGAGGGAGGGGAAAAAGCATAAAATCCTGTTTTCAAAAGTATTTTGGAATAAATAGTACATGCTGCAACTTTAGCACTTGTGTCATTTTTGGAGGACGTTTCCACCACAGATAAAACCTGTGCCTCTGGGCTGCAAATGAGACCCAGTCCCACAGGAGAGGGAAATGAGTTCCAAAGCAGTTAGAAAGCAACCCCAGGGGATCCAAGACCCAGCTTCATCTGCCGGGTATTTTATTGTCGCTAATTCATAACCGTGTCTTTAAAATCCTAGTCTCGAATTCAAGAAAAATCAGTGCCTGTGACAGTCATTACTTACTCCTTGGAGATAGCCATTCTGTCAGTTGTATGCCCTTGAAGCGTTCTTGGTGCCACAGCGCCCTCCAGTGGCAACGTAAGGAACCACATACTGTGTTTGCCGTCTGGCTAGAACTTCTGGCAAAAAAAAAAAAAGCCAGGGCAGTGCCCGTTTGATGTGCAGAGGCATGGACTGTGTGGGGGGATTATAGCCAAAAAGCCCAAATCCAAGTGTGCAACCTGAAAACAAAGCTCTTTCCCATTGCGGTGATAGGGTTATATTTCATGTTCCGTGCCAACGTGTAACCTATCGGGTCACCCAATTTTATAGATGTTCTTTTCCAAACGATCTTGGTTTTGTGAATATTTTTCTATCAAGCTGTGATGCCAAGGATATCAGAAAGGTCCCTTTAAATAGGATGAGAACTGACTGAACAGTCCACAATCGAGTCTTATTCTATCATTTGACTGAACATCATGCATCCGTTGGTGGATATGGGAAAGGATGTAGAATTGGGACCCCACACCCCTGCAGCCCCTCTTGGTGTCATTCTGGTAACAACTTTGCTTCATTTCCTAAAGAAAGGTATTACCAATCCATTATTGAAAGCACACAACTGCTATAATCTTCATTTTCATTTATGCAGCTCAAGGCAAGCGATACTCTTGCCTTGATTTGGAAGCAATACAAAGAAAAAGAGAAACGAGAAATATAGCTTTAAAAAGGCAGTGCTACACACACACACACACACACACACACACACACACACACACACACACACACACACACACACATGCCTGCCCCATCCTGTCCAGTTACATACAAAGGCAATTTTCCAAATGGGTAGTCATTAGCCTTCCTCCTTTTCCAGGTTGATTTTCTGACAGTTCCATAGCTTTCAGCTGAATCTTTTGTACATCATTTCAGCTGGAATCTACCCTCTGTGTCAGGAAACTCAAGGCCGGAACTGTGAGGCAGCAGCCCTGTAGCCAGCCTCCTTTACCAAGGACTGTGACTTAGATGTGCAGTAAGCCGAGGGCTGCTTTCACTCGCAAACTATGAAGTCTCGGTCCAGTGGCTTGCTTCATGGAGGAGAGGGCATTAGCTCCTACCCATGAATACAGATGTGCCCGGAGTCTTCCTAACTCTCACTGTGCTTCTGGCCGTGCAGTCTTTCTCCAAACACTTTGTAGACAACTCCTTTCACTCATTCTTTAGGAAACATGTAAGTGCCTAAAATGTGCCACTCCCTGAGTTAAAAGATTAAAGAAATGAGTAAGAAATGCTTCCACTTTCAGAAATAGATCACTATTAGGCAATGTAAACGGTGCTCTGGTAAAGACAGAAAGCTGGAGGCTGTGCACCCTGTTGACAGGAATGTGAACGGGCCCTCCCCTTCTTTGGAGGGCAATCTGGCACTAACTTCTGGGGTTTGGAATGCAAAAGCTACATTAGTCAACAGTTCCATTGGCTTGACTGGCTCTCAGAAATTTAAGCAGAAAAGGCAGGTGAGGATTGTTGTTGTTTGGGGTTGCTCATTTTGTTTTGCTTGGAAAGGCTACTCATTGGCTCCCCGGGAAGGTCACAGTCTCAGCCATGAATAATGGATAAAGAAAAAGATGATCAGGCAATTGCCATAACCACTGTCAAAATCACACCACCAAACTGCCTCGCAACAACATGGCTCATAGCAAATCACCACTACTTGTGAGTGTAAGCTCCGGAAAGAGTGAGGTAACAAGTCACAAGCCCACTCTCCAGCCACAGGGAGGCCAAAGGAAAGTGAAATTCTGGCATGTTATGTCTCTACAGTGACAAGCAGGCTCTGTCTCCTGTCCAAAATAAGAGTAGGGAATTTCCCAAGTCAAGGAACATTTATGGTGCAGGCAGACAAAATTTATGGCTCATACTGACAATCCTAGCTACTCAGGAAGTGAAGATCTGAAGAGCACAGTTCAAAGCCATACTGAGCAAGAAAGTCCTTGAGATTCACATCTCAAGTTCACTACCAAAAATCTGGAAGTGGAGGTACAGTTCAAGTGGTAGTGACCAGCTTTGAGCAAAAAAAAAGCTAAGAGATGGTGCCCAGGCTCTGATCTCCAGCCCCAGTACCAGCACCAAGAAAGAAAGGAAAGAAAATCAAGTCCTACCTGGTCATGGTGACACATGTCTATAATCCCAGTGCTAAGGAGGCTGAGGTAGGAGAATAAAGTTTCTAGTTCCACCTGGGCTACCCAGCAATACACTTTCCCTCAAAAATAAAAACATAAAGGTCATCTCCTCAGCAATATCCACACAAGCTGCCCTGACTCCTCAGGGAGAAACAAGTTGGCTACTTGAAAGGGGAAACACCTGCACAGTGATATCAAGATTTGTTAAATGGCTTTATTTACTTTAAAGAAGCATCAAGTAGTCCCAAAACAGCAGCAAGAAATGCACACACAATGCTAATGGTAAATTTAATGTGATTTATTCAGACAATAACTCAGGCTGCACTTCCCACAAACACAAAGGTAAGCTTCTCAATAGTGTGGAATAGATGAATTCATAAAGCCTGTTAAGTAAATAATGAGTGTAGAATATAAATCACCTGCAAATGGTTCTTTCAGAAACACACATGAAAAGACAATAAATTAGAGCAAATGTTTTATCAATGCCAACTTCAGGCCTGCTCCAAACCCTGTTGCTTGCATAAATCATGGTCTCTTTTATGGATAGAAAAGCAAAAGTAGGCAACCCTTGGCCTTCATACCTCTTTTTGACCACTTCTTAACTTCCTAGCATGGGATACTCTACCAGAACTTAGCACCAAAGCTCATCCTGTCTGGGTGCTGCTACATCACTACATGCCCAGCACCTGAACATTGTCTCCCTGAAATCCTATGTGGAGCCCACCTATGCCATCTTTGTTATTTCTCGCTTAGAGGCTGCCCTCATCAGAGGATGAAGATCATAACCTAGGATCCAGAACTTCCTCCCCAAAAAAGAGCATCCTTTGATACCTCTATGGGCAAGAGTGATCTCAGGCAGGATGTGGCAGGACTCCCAAGGAAACTCTGATCCCAAAGAAAACTCTGGAGGGAACATTCCCCACATCCTATATGGCCTATATTTTAGTGAACACGTGAGTGGAAAGTCCGTCTGCTCCATCCAGTGAGTAAAGGGAAGAGGACCTCAGCTGGACATGGACAAAGGCAATGAGGATGTACACCTATCGTGGTAACTCCATGGGTGACCTGAGGACGCAGATTCCCAGCAGCCTTCTCTCGTCATGTTCTGAAACTTCCCTAGGAGAACCAATGGGACCCCAAAGGCAGGCGACAATGAGGGAACTATGTTGAGTGCCACAACAGGCCATATCTAATGCTAAAAGAGACCGAGGCTAAGGAAGAATCTAGGTTCTAATTTATCGCAGATCTCAGGCAAGAATTCAAGGGACATCTCTAAAGTGCTGTCCTGAAATTTACATGATTTCATACATTTACATAACCTGGAAGGTGGGTTTGGGGAAAGCAAGAGGTTTGTAGTCTGGGTAAGGATTCATCAATTATCTGGCTCACCATTCAACACATACCCCAACACCCAAGTGATCAAGATTAATGTAGACCAGGAATATACCCAAAAGAATAGTAGGGACTTGTGGAGGTACACGTACAGCTATTGTAATGGGGCAGCATCATTTGTGAAAGTCCAAGTGTCTGTCAACAAATACATGAAAAAAGTTATGTATGCATACAATGTAATAGTATTCAGTCTTAAAAGGGAAAGAAATTCTGTCAATTGCTATGACCTGGGCGACTTTGAGGACATTATAAAAGCATGTCACAAAAGATAATACTGTATGGCAGCACTTACAGTCAGTCCAGATGCACAATAAGCTGGGGCAAAGAGAAAATGAAGAGTTGTTATTTAATGGGACAGGTTCAATTTGGCCAGGAGTCCTGTATCTGCATAATACTGCAAACATACTTAATGCAACTGAACCACAAAATGGTTAGGATGGTAAATTATGTATTGCATGTATTTTACCAGCTTTTTAGAAACATATATTGGTGGAAGAAGAGATTTTCATTGTGGTATTTCCATGTATGCATACAATATCTCCTGATCTCATCCTTCTTCTTAAAACAATTTCAACAGGTTTCATTGTTCTATTTTCATGCATGTATATAAAGTTCTTTGATTACAATTGTCCTCCTTCGTACTCTCCATTCACCCCCTCTCCTCTTATTAATATCCACCCCGAAAGAGAATGTGTTATACATTTCTGCCATTAATTTTCTTTAGTATCTATAATTACACAAAGGTGTTTGTTTCACCATGGCATTTCACCCAGACATATATTTTACTAAAATTTAATGCTCTCTATTCCTGTTTCTTTCCATGTCCCCTAACCACTCTATTATCCAACAACTTTCACTGTGTTTCCAATATCATCTTCATGCATACACACACACACACACACACACACACACACACACACACACACAATGAATTTTATATTATTCACTGCCCAATATTCTCTTCATTCCCGTGTCCCCAAGCAGTCCCATAGGTACAATCATGTTCTGTATATGTGTCTTTTAGGAATACAATTAATAATTTACAAATTTTTAAATGCATTCATAATTTGAGAATTTTTGTCAAAAAAAGATCAGTGTGGAATGACTAGTATAATCATGGGAGCTACTAACTACGAACAATGAAAAAGCATTCTATGAGGAAGGGTGTGGCTCAGTGGTAGAGTTCTTGTCTAGTATCCTTGACGCCCTGGGTTTGATTCCCAGTACTACAACATTTTTTCTTATTATTTAAGCCATTCAGTGTCACAAACCTGTAAACCCAACATTCAAGGGGCAGAAGCAGGGGAAAGAACTGGGAGTTTTCAAGCCAGCAGGCTATGAAGAGGTTGTCTCAAAACCAAAGGCTAATATGTTACATCACCAGAGCAAGACCAAGATTCTATGTGGTAACTTTCAGCTAGGGAAAAACAAAATGCTCTAGATCTGTTAGTATGGATATGAGTAGGAAAAGGCATAGAAGTAAATATAAAATGTCACCAGTAGCCACATCCTGAAGAGTTAGCTTCTTTCCATCTTCACCATAGAGTGAAATATGGAAAATGTAGAAATTGACCACATATTATCTCAGTTTTGCTCTTAGAATGGGATGGAAAGTCACAGTTAATATAAAACAAAAACATAAAAAATTCAAAGGCTAATAAGCATTTTCAGTCTCCAGAAGGAGGGAGTCTCCGTGTTTATTAGGAAAAGACAGGGGGAAAAAATCACACCGGGAAAGACCATTTGATCACTTGAAAATGTGAGCTCCAATAGCAAAATTTACCAGGCAAATTCACAAAACTGGAAATGCAAATATGCAACAATCATACAAGAATCATCAAGGTAATTAATAAACAGAGTCCACGGTTAAAGCAGGACACCAATCTCACCTATTATTGGAAGAATATAAGGTGCTTTTGTGGCATTGGGGTTTTTGTTAATTTCATTTTTTAACTTTAGTGCTCTAATATAGCAAGACAATGAGAGGAGAAAATACAGCTATTTTTTGACAACTTGGCACTGAGATACTATCCTAAGGGAATAGTTGGAAATACACAAAAACCATTTTATTCCCCAAGTTGATCATTACAGCAGTATCTATTATACTAAAATTTCCAACTATTGAAAAGTTAAGTAAATTACAATAAAACTACACAATAAAATAGATTATGAGTGATGGAAAGTTGCTTTGCAAAAAATCTATACTAACCACATATGATACTTAAAAGTCAGAATGCAAATGTATGATAAAGAATATAGGAGATCACAGAAATGTGGAAAAAATCATACCCCCAAAAAGACAAGATATTAAGTGGCAATCTCAGGAGAAAATATTCACACACTTTCTCACCTTTCACCATGTTTCTCTTTTCCCATTTTTTAAATAACATAGCAATTTTATAATCAGATAAAGAGTACATTTTTGGGGGGGGTGGTCCGGTCGTGGGGCCTGAATTCTGGGCCTGGGCGCTGTCCCTCAGCTCTTCAGCTCAAGGCTAGCGCTCTACCACTTGAGCCACAGCACCACTTCCGGCTTTTTTTCTTTTTGCTTATGTGGTGCTGAGGAATCGAACCCAGGGCATCATGCATGCAAGGCAAGCGCTCTACCACTGAGCCACCTTCCCAGCCCATGAGTACATTTTTTTAGGTAAGTTAAATCCCAAGATTCTTTATGTGTATTCATTTTGTCCCACAAAATGCTCTCAGCCTCTTCGCCTTCAATGTACAGAAACCAGGCTGTGAAGAATGGTTATGAATGGGCTGGAGCAGAGAAAAGAGGGCACAGCCTATGATGGGCGGGAGGTAGGAATAGGCAAGGTAGAGTCAGCCAAGGGCAGGGGCATTGTGGAGCCAGGGAAGACTCTGACTGCTCAGCGGAGGTCTTTTTAGACCCATAGTAGGCACTGACGGTGTTCTCAAAGGGCAGGGTTAAGAGGGATTTTAGGAAGACACATGGATTCCTTTTGGAACAGGGGAGGAAAAAGGAGGGGAGGTAAACTACTTTGGAGGGAAGGGACAAGGACTGAGGCAATGGTGATGGGAGTGAAGAGAAAGAGGCCAACAACTACAGCAAACTCCCTACCCTACACCTAAACACATCCACACAAGGCTTTGTTGGCAAATTCAGGATCAGTGTAGGAGAAACTTGTTAGCATTCAACAGATCCAGCTAGAAACCTAGAGAGAACTAAGGTAGGTCTGTCCAAACTACCTGTCATGATAGGATTGCGGCTACAAAGCACTTGAAATACGGTGTGATCAGGCATCTTACATTTTATTTTCTTTCAATTCATTTAATTTGAGATAGTCACATCGGCTTAGTGACTACAAAGTGGCCAGCAGAGTTCACTTCATGACTCCATCAGAGCAGCATTTGGAGTTTGACTGCTCATTTTAGAAATAAAATGAGAAAAAAGTGCACACATTGTAGCCAACCAGGAAAGAAATTTAAAACTTACCATCGTAACCGTAAAGTGGGAGATAAAGCTAAATACACTGAAAATATGTGCTAAGGAATTTCTAGACTATATTGTAAAAATTATAGTGGACATAAGGAAAGCAATAAAGAGATGAAGAACAACGAAGCGAAAGCTGAAGGAAACCATTTGCAAAAGCTCAAGCTCCTTGAAAGAAACGAGTTCCGCAGCGAGGAGCAATGAAGAGGCCCTTCACTCCCCCAATAAAAATTGGTTGTTGCCAAGATACTCACTTAACTGCTTACAAGACCATAGTGTTTTTTATATGCACCTAGCGTAGGCCAAATAGTTTTTTTTTTTAAGTTTTGGTACTGATTTTAAGATATATATCTATATATCTGTATATCTTGTCTTTTATGGGTCACAATTTAATACATTGCACTTTGCTCTTTGTTATATTTTTTTCACAAACATGCACCTTAAAACACCAAGACACTGTAAGGAGAAAAATGCTAAATATTCATTTTACTATAAGACTGACATATTACATTTGTTTAGAAAGGAATATATTCTTCCAATGACTACAAAGAGTTGATCCACTTCATCATGTTCTAAATACAACTTGTAAATATTCCATTACTTAAAGATGATTTGAATTAAGCTTATTACTGCCTTTCTGAAAATTGTCATATTCAAGAAATACACAAATGAAAATTACCTAATATTGTACTAATAAAGTTTTCACACTTTAAAATTTATTAAAATTGATGCTTTAATTAGCAATTAAAAGGAGAATATTTTCTGTCTCCTGAATAAATGGATTCTACAATTATCAATCCATAAATGAGAATATTAATATGAATTTACATAACTGAAACCATAGATATACTTACATTTTTAAAAGTTCCATTGTGAATAACAGATTTAATAGATGGCCACTGAGTTCAAGGGACATTTTAGTAGCAAATTATTCAAATGTATCTGAAAATTCTTTCCAAATACCTGCATGTCTCTATTGCACTGTGCATCATTTATTATTTGATGAAGTAACACACTGATCATTACATGTGTATCTCAACTTCACATTTTGAAATCTGTGGCTCTTAGAATTACCATTTAACTTCATATTTGGGGAAGAAATGTGAATTCGGTATTGAAATATTTTGAATATATTGGCCTACCCTAGATATATTACTAAATTATAAACAAAATAACCAGAACTTTAAAGTCAATCCTAGTTTGAAATATTGTTACTTTCTGAAATGTACTAAATTGGACAATTTCTTGAGTTATAGTATTATGTTCTATTATCATGGTCTTGATATTTTAAGACAATTTTTGTTTGTCAACCAATGACTAAACTATAAATACTTTAAAAAGGAAACAAAGTGATTCAGCCAAGTCCTAATCCAACTGCCAATTTCAAATGAATAATGGCAAAATGAAAAGGCTTGTTGACATAAGGCAAATTGTTGATGTGTGTTTGAATTACCTCCCCCCCCTAGGTTGTGTCCAATATTATGGGTATTGATAAAATAATCATCTCTCCTCTCAAGGGGAACATATTATATTTGCCCTCTGTGGCTGATAAAACTCAAGGTATCAATGACTGGAGAAATTCTCTATGTTGGGAGTCATTGTACACATTGTGATCCTGTAATGGGTCAGAATCCACAAAATACAATTCTCCTGCATGGATGTCAGTAAAATTAGCCAGAAATTCATCAGGATTGAAGCCAACCCACACAGTATACCTATAGTCTATGGTGCGTATGGAGTAGCCCATGATCTTTATATCTTTTAAACTCGGCTTGTCAGAATTCCATTGAGGGGAATCTGCAGGTCGGGGATACTGGCTGTAGGCAACTGACTCATGGGGATTACCATGGAGGTGTGGATCCTCTTCCCAGTCATGGAATCGAAAATGATTCAGAAGGCTCTGGCCTTCTCTGCACAGCTCAATATGAAATGAAGGAATGGGGCATCGAGGAGGAACTTGTAGTCCTGCGAGTCCAGCGAGTGTGGGGAAGAGAGACATGAGTTCCACGAGGTCCCAGCTTTGCCTGCCTGAAACAGGAAGTAACATTGCTAGACGCGGCACACTATAGCAGCCTGCCAAATCAAGACTGATGAGTCACCGAGCCTGCTCTCAGCTTCATCTGTTTTTGTTTTCATTCTTTTTGTTCAAGACTATTATTTTTAGCCAAAGTTTAGAAACACCTCTACCTGAGCACTTTGGGCTCTACTAGCTATTCATTCAACCAAATTGCAGGATGCAAAATTAACATGTCTTCAGTACTTTTTTTTGGGGGGGGGGTTCGGTCGTGGGCCCTGAACTCTGGGCCTGGGCGCTGTCCCTCAGCTCTTCAGCTCAAGGCTAGTGCTCTACCACTTGAGCCACAGCGCCACTTCTGGCTTTCTTCTTTTTGTTTATGTGGTGCTGAGGAATCGAACCCAGGGCCTCAGGCATGCAAGGCAAGCGCTCTACCACTGAGCCACCTTCCCAGCCTTTCAGCACTTTTTAAAAATACTTAGAATTTCAAACTACCAGTATAACAAACAAGGCAAGCTTCATCAATTAAATTCAAAATGCAGTGCAAAACTCTGCTGAAGAATATGACAATCTGTGTCTCAGGGTCACCCCACAGACACTTGTTACTTGATGTCTACATTTGACCCGTGTGTGTGTGTGTGTGTGTGTGTGTGTGTGTGTGTGTGTGTGTGTGTGTGTGTGTGTACATCAGTCCTGGGACTTGAACACACAGGACCTGGGCACTAGCTTTGAGCCTTCTGCTCAAGGCTAGTGCTCTACCACTCGAGCCACACCTCCACTTTTTAGCTTTTTGACTTTCCTGCACAGGCTGTCTCCAAAGCACAACCCTCAGATCTCAGAACCCTGAGTAGCTAGGATTACAGATGTGAACCACTGGAACCTGGTTTGACCCATCTTTTTAATATGGTAAATTACATAAACAATGGAGTATGCCATCTGCACCTTTTTTGGTGAACAGTTTGGTGGCACTAAATATATTAACACTCGTATCACCCTCAACATCATGTATCTCCAAACCTCTTTTCATAGAGCTTGATCTCAGAGTTTGAGCACTGTCCCTTTGCTTTTTTACTCAAGGCTAATACTGTACCACTTTGTGCCACAGCACCACTTCCACTTTGGGGATAGTTAATTGGAGTTTAGAGTCTCGTGGACTTTTCTTCCCAGGCTGGCTTCCAGCTGCAGTCCTTAGATCTCAGCCTCCTGATTAGCCTGTTCATTTTTCACATCTGAAACTATGCCCATTAAACAACAGTTGCTCATTTCCCTATCCCCAACAACTGGTAACTCCCATTCTATTTTCTATCTCTGTGAATCTGACTATTCTAGATACTACATGTGGATCATACAGTATTTGTCCATTTGTGTCTGGCTTATTTCATTCTGTATCACATACTCAAGGATCTTCCACATTGTTGAAATGTCCTTTTTTTTTAAGACTGAATAATACTCCACTGCATGTATATACCACAACGTGTATATCCATGTGTCAATGGACATTTGTAAACAGAGCTGCTACCAACATTCACATTCAAGTTTTTGTCTAAATACCTGCTTTTGGTTCTGTAGTTTGTATACCTAGGAGTGGAGTTGCTTGGTCATGTGACCATCACCAACACTTACTGTTTATTAACAGCTATCCTGATGGGGTCATTTTATTATGATTGATCTATGTTTAAAATCTAAGTTCTGTATTTATACTGACTTCTGTTCAAATTAATCTTGGCTTTACACTATTAAAATGGCCTTTCTGAAGAGTTAGAAGCTGTTTTACATGACCAATTTCAACTTCTAAACACTTGATTTGTTGTCAGTGAAGTATTTTTAAAAACATGCTTCAGGGGCTGGGAAGGTGGCTCAGTGGTAGAGTGCTTGCCTTGCAGTCATGAGGCCCTGGGTTCGATTCCTCAACACCACATAAACAGAAAAAGCCAGAAGTGGTGCTGTGGCCCAAGTGGTAGAGCACTAGCTTTGAGCTGAAGAGCCGAGGGCAGCGTCCAGGCCCAGAGTTCAAGCCCAACGACTGACTAAAAAGAGAGGGGGGGAAGAAAAGAATGAAGGAAAGAAAGAAAGAAAGAGAAAAGAGGGGAAAATGTGGAATAACTGTACAGTTACATGAATTTACAACTTACTGAATTCCTCCCAACAGGCTTCAAAAATGACTCGTGACTGTCAGATTGGTCTCAGCAAACAAATAGCTAAAGTCATGCCTAAAAATGGTTCATGTTCTCCACCACTACAGTAAAACAGCATGCAGTGCTCAAAAATTAAATATGCAGAAAATAAAACTGGACATTGTAAAGAAAACTCAATGGTGCAGAAAGGTCAAAATGATTATCCAAAACCAAAATAAATTTAAACAGAGATCAAGATAAAGTATAAACTTAGATGTTCAATATGGATTGAATGTAAATCCACAAAGCAGGGTCCCTGATTTAGCAGTTTGTGGGGGGAGAAAAATATTCCAAAAAGAGCAAATGCCACCTGAATTAAGACATTCATCACTGGGGAGATCAAGTCAGGATGCAAATTATAGGAACATATGTTCACATTCTGTGGGTAGGGAAGACACTTGCTTTGAAGGATTGGCATGTGGAAATCAGTGTCCTTCCCTGTTGGGAGCCCAGAGTAGAATCACTCTGCAGATTTTACAAATCTAGAAGTTCATTTGGTCTGCCAAAATGGAAGATATTATTCTCATAAAGACCAAATCTTCATCCAAGTATGCAGGTTAAGGATTCCATTCACCTATTTGATTGACGCATCCCCTGCCTGTGTAATCCTCTCCTCTAAGCTGTGGAGGAGCATATTTGCTGGCACCTCTGCAGCACTTCCCACCTTGGGAATGTTATCTGATCTTTTGTCTTTCCACCTTCTGAAACTCTAGCTGGGCTGCTCATTTCCATCCCAGAGAATGGAAGGTGCTAAAATCAAAAACAAAGAAAGAACATGTGCCAACTATACAATGTGCTGAAGGAATTCCAATACATCCAGAAGAGAGACTGTACAAGCACAAAGCATGTGATTCCCTACATTGATCTATATGGAAGCTAAAGGAATACTTAGTGCATGGCAATATCCCTTTGTGTATTTTATACCTGGAGCCATCCACTCTGAGGCAGGATCAAAGGGGTCACGATAAGGGAAGAGCTTCTGGCCTGCTTCTGGAAGTGGAGCCGTCTTCCCCGGAACATAGAACATCAGAGGTACACGAGTAGTGACGTCAAAATTGCTGTATTTGGCCCATTCTCCATGTTCACCTAGAGACCACCCTGGGTCATAAAAAGCACACAATGACAGAAAATGAATAACTGGATCCAGCTCGTTTATTTTAGACTTCATTTTCTTCAGTAAACACCAGAGGGAGTAAAACCTCATTATCTTGCGGAAATTTCTCTAGAATTACTACAAAAAGGAAATTTCACCTGAAGGTCTCTTTATTCAAAGTCAGATATCTGCTCTAAATGAAGAAACCTTTAAAAATGAAAAAAATATTCAATTCCACAATTAATAATATCTTTTCAAAATCAACAATTTGTCATTTATACCCACACTAGGCTTTGGGGGACCAATGGGTCCTAAACAAACATGCTTACCATGCCAGGATGAGTGAATCCAGGATTTTGTGCACATGAAGAACATGCTCTACCACTCAGCCACACCCCAGATGCTCATTCTTAATGATAGGACCCTGAAAGCAGCAATGTTACTAGTGCCCTGCTCTGTGTCTATTTCTTGATAGGTTGTTCTACTAAAACTTGAGCTACAGAACTGTGACATAAGAATCTCTTATGAAATAACTAGCCTTAAAGAATAAAGATTAGGTATTTTTAAAAAAAAAAAAAAAAAAGAATGTCTATCTTGCTCTTTTGTGTGTGTGTATGTGTCCTGAGGCTTGAACTCAGGGCCTGGGCACTGTCTCTGTGCTTCTGTGCTCAAAGCTAGCATTCCAGCTGTGTGTGTGTGTGTGTGTGTGTGTGTGTGTGTGTGTGTGTGTGTGTGTGTGTGTGTGTGTGTGTGTGTGTGTGTGTGTGTGTGTGTGTCACTGTCTCTGTGCTTCTGTGCTCAAAGCTAGCATTCCAGCTGTGTGTGTGTGTGTGTGTGTGTGTGTGTGTGTGTGTGTGTGTGTGTGTGTGTGTGTGTGTGTGTGTGTGTGTGTGTGTGTGTGTGTGTGTGTGTGTGTGTGTGTGTGTGTGTGTGTCCTGAGGCTTGAACTCAGGGTCTGGGCATTGTCTCTGTGCTTCTGTGCTCAAAGCTAGCATTCCAGCTCTTTGTGTGTGTGTGTGTGTGTGTGTGTGTGTGTGTGTGTGTGTGTGTGTGTGCGCGCGCGCACGCGCGCGTGTGCGTGTGCGTGTGTTTAACTGGAGATAAGAGTCTCATGGACTTTCTTGCCCCAACTGGCTTCGAACCACGATACGCAGATCTCAGCATCCTGAGGATTACAGGCATGAGCCCCTGGTGCCTAGCAATCTTGCTCACTTTTAAGACATACCACACACAGACAATACAAAACTTCTAATACAAATCATTAATGCTGATTATAAAATGTCCTTTACATACATTTAAAACAACAGATCACTAGTAATGTGTGAAAATTATGACACCTCCATGTCTAAAAAAATACAACAGACAGACTTTTATATAAGGGAAATGTTAGGCCTGTGAAAAATGATAAGGACAGGGAGAGCCAGGCACCAGTGGTTCATGCCTGTAATCCTAGGTTCTCAGGAGGCTGAGATCTGAAGACCATGGTTCAAAGCCAGCCTGGACAAAAAAGTCCCTGTGAGACTCTTATCTCCAATTAACTACTCAAAAACCAGTAGTGGCACTGTGGCTCAAGTGGTAGAGCACTAGCCTTAAACACAAAGATGTTCAGGGACCATACCCAGGCCCTGAGTTCAAGCCCCATAACTGACAAAAAAAGAAAAGAAAAAGAAAAAGAAGGAGAATCATCCATGCCACCATTAAATGAAAGACACTATAGGAAAAAATAAACATAGCACTATCAGTCATGTTTTGTGATAAGCTACTTGTTATACATATATAAATGACATCTCCATGTACATATATATACAACTAATGGCTGGCAGATGGAGGCTCACTCTGTCAACATTAGTTAACCTTGGCAAATGGTACAAAAGGGAAAGCTATCCTGACCCTATATTGTATGTTCTGTATCCTTATTTGTTTTTGTAATAAGCATGTTATCATTTAATATTGTGCCATTTCCTATAATGATATGAGAGTCATTTTCCTTATTCTAAGTATGGTGATAATATAGCCATACTTAAAGAAGCTATAATGGTCCTTTTTTTCTTTTTTATTAGTATCTATCAACTGTTTAAGGAGGATTGTGACATTTCTATATATGCATACCAAACTCACCCCTTCTATTACTGACCCTGACCTTCCTCCTCCTTCCTCAATGACTTGAAAAGGTTCCATAGTTCTATTTTCATATATGCAAAACAATCCTTTGATTATATTCATCCTTATTCACCCTTTCCATTCACTATCCTCTCTTCCACTGGTATATACACCTTCCCAATCTTTTTACCTTTCTATCATTCATGTTTTTAGTGTGTACTGACTACCAAGAATTTTCACCGTGGTATTTCAGCTATGTATATACTATATTTTGACCAGAATTATCCTCCTTATTTCTTTCAATAGTGAATATTTGTTGTTAGTACTAAGATTTAAATTCAAGGTTTCTAGTGAGCCACACCTGCAGCCTTGTTTTAGTGTGTTTCTCTGTGTGTGTGTGTGTGTGTGTGTGTGTGTGTGTGTGTGTGTGTGTGTGTGTGTGTGTGTATTTGATGCTCATTTTTGAGATAAAGTCTCACTTCCTACCTGGGCATAAGTCTGTACCACAAAGCAACTATTTTATACTTCCAGTTACTGCTGGCATATGCCACTACATGGAATTTCCCTCCATTGAGATAAGGTCTCAGAGAGATTTTTGCCTGAGCTGTCCTGGAATGATGATCATCCTAATCTCAGCCTCCTATGCAGTTTAGAATGACATGTGTATACCACATGACCAGATGTAAGTTGAGGAGTCTCATAAACTTTTCTGCCCAGGCTGGCCTTGAACGGTGTGATGCTCCAATCCTCAGATACTCAAGTCACTAGGATTATAGGTATTAGCCACAGATGTGCACCCTAAAAAACAATAGGTTTTATAGAGTGTGTGGAAACAGAATCATCTCAGATTTGGTTCAGAATAATTCAGGTAGAAAGAGTAGATAAGGATAATATGAACAAAAATGCTGCTAGCAGAGAGATGTTTTATTTTCCATCCTTGAGTGTGCTTGAAATATTTCCAATTAAAATGAATGTTTTAAAATAATAGTTCTATATTTAGCAAACATTCCATATTAGGAAATAGCCTGAGAAGAGATAGAGTGGAGAAGCTCAGTCTCCCACTAGACAAAACAATGGGAGCAGGGATGTAAGAAGTCCAGTCAGAGACTTGCTGGCTCTGCCAGGATCCTACTAAATCCTCTCAAAAAGACCAAAAAGTTCTGAAGTCTTATAGGTTAACATAGGGGTTAAAAGATTTCCATTACACATAGCTGAACAGTGGCTTACATCTATAGCCCTTAAATCAGTGTGATGAGATTTCAGGATCACAGTTTTAAGCCAGGCCAGGCGGAAAAACCCACATGACGCTACCTCTAACTAACCAGCAAAAAACTGGGCTGGAGGTATGACTCAAGTAGTAGAATACTAGCTGTGAGCAAAAAAGCTGAGCAAGGGTGTAAAGCATGGAGTTCAAGACCCACTACAAGCACACACACACACACAGACACACACACACACAGAGGCACACACACACACACACACAGATTTCCATTACACAAACAGGGTTGATGTTTTCCTAATGAATGCACTAGGAAATTAAAAGTTTCTACATTTGCACTTCCCCCTACTCAAAACCTGCCTGCACACCCAATATTCAAGACAGGTTCCAAGACTTAGTTGATCACAAAAGCATCCCAAAAGGGTTGGAGTGGTAGCTCAGTTGCTAGAGCACTAGCTAATGAGCAAAAGTGTCAGGTTCTGAGTTTGAGTTCCAGTTTCAGCTCAAAACAAAACAAAAGCCTACCCAAGGGAGTAAATAGATGCCAATGTATAATATGGCAATTTCCAAAAGCATGTTTCATAGGAAAGTTTTGAGATGCTTTGAGTTACTCACCAGAACATTTCCTAATTCTTACCATGATCGGACATAAATGCAATGATTGTTCTGTTGGCCAGCTCAAGATCATCCAAAGCACCCAAAAGGTGTCCAACCTGTGTATCCAAATAGGACACAGAGGCAAAGTAGCTCTGGCGTATTTTCTGCTGCAAATTAAAAAAAAAACTCTTTAAGACTATATACAGTTTTACTTACTATAGCATATACAGAGATGTCTTTTTTTTTCTTTTTGAGCATCTTGCCCATTTCCAACAATTCCATCAATGCCCTTAATAACTTTCTTATTCATTTCCCTTCAAAGTCACAGCCCAATCTGCAAGCCCCAAATCCTATTTGTGAGCAAATCAGCCTTTGCTCTCATGGCAGATGGATATCACTTACTACCTCCTCCCTTCGGTCTTTTTCACATGGCTGGTAGTGCCATAAACTGGATGTCTTCAAATCCTTGACACTGAGTTATCAGCCTCAGTTTCTGCCGTGTGTTTATTCCCTGCCTTCTCAGCTGCACATGTCAGCTTCTTGTCTCTGCTAGGGTCAGGCCAGTCATGGGACCTGCTCCATACTCTGCTTGTGCTGAAGAGAACAGATTCACATCCAAGAATATGATGTGGACCCAGCATACTTATACTGTCTGCTAAATAAAGTCTTCCATCTGTAACACAGAGACCTTTCATGTTCTGGAGACTTACACCTCCATCCAATGCTGACCCCTGGAGGTAAGGCAGCAAATAAATAAGAAGGCAAGGTCCTCAAAGGTAAAGAAGAAATGTTTGCTGTTGGGCAAATAGAAGTAAGATGCCCTACGCAGGGGTATAGTGAGAACAAGGCCTGTTTGAGGCTGGAGAATAACATGGGAGAATAGGGAGTGTCAGAGGACACCAAAACAGTAGGTGAGGGACAGATGATATGAGCTTGGCAGGCCCCTCTGGAGGAGCCCAACCTTCAGGCCTAAGGAATCACCGAGTTCAGAGTAGCAGTGTCCTGTGGCTATAGCAGTGTTCAACAACGGAGCACCACATTGCTGCGTGTGAAGCCTCAGCACACTGGCAGAATGACAATCACAACAAAGCAGACCCACTGCAGGGGTCTAGAACAAGATACTGAATGATTCTGAGGCCAGAGTTCATTTGAGAGGAACCTGGGGAGGACACAGAAGGAACAGGAGAAAGAACAGAGATAAGATTCAAGTTTGTAATGGCTTGCATGAAGAGAAAGAGGCAGAGGAGGAAGAGGAAGAAGAAAATGCAGGGTAGGAGTGGGGAGCCAGACCACACAGGAACCTATGGAAACTGAGGCCACCATGGTCATATGCCTGAGAACAATTTTGAAAATCAGGAATGAGGGCCAGCCTGGAGGAGTGCTCTCAGAATCAATCTACCAGAGCACTCAGATGAGGCTAGTTAGAGAAAAGGGGAGAAAGCACACCATGGTAGGCCAAAATTGATCCTGAGGACCACACCTAAGTGGGAGAGATACAGAGATGCCTACCAAGTAGACTGAAGCAGAGGGAACTAAGAAGGGCTGTAAGGAAGCCTAGAAGGTGGACAATTCCAAAAGGGATGGGGCTGGTTAAGAACGAGAAAGAAGCACAGAAGTTAGAGAAGGTCAAGGCTGGATTCTATTCACCAACAAAGTGAGAATGCTGCCAATGGAGGTAGAAGCCCAAGCAGAGGATGATGAAGAACAAATGAACACAGGGACCATGAACACAACCAGAGTTGAGCATTCTATGCTGCCCTTGAGGGGCAGGGGAGAAAGGGGAAGCTTCAGGAAAAGTTAATATAAAGAAAGGAAAACATTTCAGGACATGTGGGAGGACCCAAGCAAAGTGCTCTCGGGGACAATGGGGGCGTCTCTACCCCCTGGCAGCATGGATTCACTCTGGCAGCCCTCATCGATGGACTGTCTCAGGATCAAGGCACTGCAAGTAGGAAGAGCATGCTGAGGGACTGGCAAGAACTGGAAGTGGCCTGCCACAGGGCTTTGGAAATTCAGGGAAGGAGTGAAGCCATGCTTTGGATATCCCCAGAATACATACACAGTAAGAAGGGGGGATTGTGATGAGTTGGTGACCAGGACAGAACTGAGAGGCTGAAGTGAGAGATGAGACAAAGTCTATCCTTTCTAGGAAATGCTCTACCATTGACCCATGTGCCCCTCCTAGCACCTTTAGGTTCAGTTTATTCTTTGTGTAGGGTCTCTCATGTTTACCTGGGCTGGTCTCAGGCAGTGATCCTTACCTCTGAAAGAGCTGAGATTTCAGGCATGTGGTGCCATACCTGACCTGTTTTAGAGAAGGGGGCTTGCTAATTTTTTTGCTCAGGCTGGCTTCACACCACAATCCTCCTGTCTCTACCTCCACAGCAGCTTTGAGACAAGTGTGCACTACCATACATCATTAATTAATAAGGTTCTTATAAGATATTATAGATCTTATTAATATGATACAATAAAATCTACTGAGAAAAGTTGCCTTGTTGATGAAATCACACTATTAGTGCCTGATATATGCACAAAATATGTCCTCGGTACCTGAAAGTCGACAGGAATTGGACCATAGGGCACACTGATATTCAATGCTTTCACATCTTCTCGCTGGCGGATGTCCATCCAAGGGTTGTAGGCCACAGGAGGAAGGCCACCAGGAACTTGGGGATCAGGGGCCAGGGTAATGTTCTCCAAGGGATATAACTTCTGAAATTCCTTGAGAAAAAAGAAAACACAAAACCACAAGGCTGTCATTCATGTGATAAAGGCACCAGGCTGTGACTATGGGTGTTCCATGTGGTAGCTCTTCAATGCTCCCCAGGTGCTCACCCCTGCCCTAATCTAAGGTCAGGCCTTAGGTTACTCTCGTCAGATGCCAACAGTAATGAAATCCTGCCATTCTATTTCCTACAAACCAAGCATCAACAGCTGTCTTTCCCTATATAGATAGATGCTACCCTGTCCTCCCTCACATGTTCCCAATCCATAAAGGTGTCATAAGGTGTCATGAATTCCCCAGCACCCCTCAGCTTCAGTAATCCACTAGAACTTACAGGCCTCAGTATACAGCCGCATTCACAGTAATAGTTTATTATAGTGAAAGGATACTAAACACAGAAAGTATGAAAAAAATTGGGCTGGGAAGTTGGCTCAGTGGCAGAGCACTTGCCTTGCATGCCTGAGGCCCTGGGTTCGATTCCTCAGCACCACGCAAGCAAAAAGAAAAAGCCGGAAGTGGCGCTGTGGCTCAAGTGGTAGAGCGCTAGCTTTGAGCTGAAGAGCTAAGGGACAGCGCTCAGGCCCAGAGTTCAGGCCCCACGACGGGACCAAAAAAAAAAAAAGAAAGAAAGTAAGAAAAAATTGTCTAAGGAGGAAGAATGCAAAAAAAGCACTGGCAAGCTTCCAGAGAAAGTCTTTCTTTGCAGAGAAATTACACAGGACGCAATTTACTGTCCCAGCAATGAGGTGTGTGACAGCACACATGAGCTTCCCTGGCTCACTCAAACCTCAGCATTCACTTTTGATTCAGGGCTCGGTCCTCTCTGTCTACCTAGGCCATATCAAAACTCTAGACTCCCAGATAGAAAACAGACTCTGGCATTTAGTAACATTTGACTGAACAGCTTGGACACAGTTTAAGCCACTCTGTCAGTTCGGGAAATGGTGAGAACACTCCCAAAGTGAAACTTCTCAGGTGCCACCCAAGGGCTAGGCCTTATAAAAATGCTTTTCAAAGACTTGCCGTCAGACCAGTTTGGGGTATTTTTTTTTTTCTGAAAAGAGGCACAAGAAGTTAGTCTCACTGTCTTTTGCTAAGGGAGCTGACAGCTTCTGCTGGAAAATGAAGATCTCCTGGGCCTATCAAAGCAAAATAGCATGACTGCTGGTTTCTATTTTCATTCTAAGTAAGGGGCAATTTTTGTAAAATCAAAGGCTGGACTGCCCAAAGAAAATGTAAAGGAGAAATATAATGTAAGGAAAACCTGAACTGGATAATAAAAAGAACTACATGCTCTAAATGACAAGCAAATACAGGATTTGAGATCTCAACAAGCAACATCCTGTGTTTACAAGGTCTGACCTAACAGGATCCAGGAAGAAAGACAGTGTCATAGAATTTTTCCCTAAGTACCATCTCTAATTGTTACAGGCTTTGCTCTTTCTGACTCACTTCTCTATGATGATCTCACCATCCAACCTATAATTGCACAATGCATTCAATGGAAGTTAACAAAATCCTTCAGCAAAGGGAAAGGAATAGCTAAGCATTTCTTTTAAGATTCATGTGTGGATGTGAAGGGTAAACCAAAGGAGGAGGCTGCAATGCTTGGTAAGAAATGTACGCATTATCCTGCCCATGTAATTGTAACCCCTCTGTACAGTATGTTCACAAATAAAATAAAATTAAATTAAAAAAAAAAGATTCATGTGTATCCTGAAATTACTTCTTGGACTTGATCTATGACCCCTATCTTTATGCTACTAGGTATACTTGTGCCCAGAAGACATCCCTAATGACTGCAGATGGTGGGATATTGACATCTTTGGTATACAAATGCCTCTCTCAACAAATAACACAGCTGTAGTGACTACTGGATCACTCGCAGATAGCTCTTCACCTTAGGGTATCTGAAGGGGATGTGTGGCTTATGATACCCAATAGCCAGGAAGAAAGGACTGGATAGTGTTTTCATCTTTTCCAATAAGCGGATGGCTTCTTCAGTGCTCTGTATGTCAGGCAAGGTACCCTCTGGTACATCCTTCACATCCACAGGGCAAAGTAGGTTGGCATGGAGTTCTCCATCTTGACCCCTACATGTCTTTAAAACAAAATATGTAACAGCAGCATTTTAAGGGTAAGAAATAGATTGTTCAAAACACAAAGTTAATAAACCTGTCACCATACCCCTAAGTGCTATCTTTCAAACTGAACAGGCACAGATGAAATAGAATTCAACCAGAAAATGTTTCTACTTTCCCAGAAAGGGACTAGAAAGCCACAATATTTAGCTTCGGAGATGAATTCTCTGACTCTAGGTGGTAACTAATTAAAGGATACCACATAAACTAAATTTTGAAAAACAGCAAAATACCTCAACAAAGATAAGTCAATTAAAATGAGCTAAGGATTTTAATATGTGTCTCTCATTCTCAGATCTCAGCCTACTGGTTAGCTAGGATTACAGGTTCTGAGCAGCAACAAATACATAAATAAATGAAAATTTTAAGTTTTAATTGACAATTGAAATTGGATATAATTGTAGTATGCACCTCAATTTCTTAAACATGGGCTTTAGTTTCATTAATACATTGGGAATTTCCCCCAAGCCAAGACTATGTTTCTTTGTAAATCCTTTTGTTTCCTGTAATGCTTTATTTTTTTTCCTTTGGTGTGGATATGTTCTTCTTTTTTAAGATTTTTGTATTAGTACATGTTAGTCATACTAGGATTTCATTGCAACATTTCTAGACATGTGTTTAATGTCTTCTATTAATCTCATCTCCCATATCTCCTCTCATTTCTTAAAACAATTTCAATTTGTTTCATTGTTATTATTTTCAAAAATTCTAATAAAGTGTTTTGCCCATATTCACCCTCATTTATATTCTCAATTCACCCTTTACCCTCCCACTGGTCCTCATCTCCCTACTACCCAAACAGCCTGTTTTACTCTCTTCTCATTCATTTGTTAGTGTATATTAATTGCACTGAGGAGTTCTACCATGGCATTTCTTACATGCATATATTTAAATCAGAATAACCCTCTCTATTGGTATTTCCCTCATCCACTCACCCCACTACTGATCAATAGCTTTCATTGAGATTTTTAAGATCATCTTCATACATCTTCATGCCATCTTCAAATGTGTTGATATTATTCTCTTCCCTCCCCCCTCATGACTCCTCAAGTAGTTATAATTAAGGTCTCTCACTCTTGCTCTCACTATTGCTCTGTGTGTGTGTGTGTGTGTGTGTGTGTGTGTGTGTGTCTGTGTGTCTGTGTGTCTGTGTGTCTGTGTGTGTGTCTGTGTCTGTGTCTGTGTCTTTAAAGTATAAATTCGTCAGGTGCTGCTGGCTCACATCTGTAATCTTAGCTACTCAAGAGGCTGAGATCTGATTATCACAATTTGAAGCCAGCTGGGCAAGAAAGTCCATGACAATCTTATCTTCAATTAGTCACCAAGAAGCCAGAAGTAGAGCTGTGGCTCCAGTGGCATAGCACCAGCCTTGAGCAAAAAAGCTAAAGGAGAGAACAAAAAGCTAAGCAAATGCACAAGGCCATGGGTCAAGGTGCAGTTCTAGAACAATAAAGTCTAGATTCTACAAATGAATGCTATGAAATTATGATATCCATACCAGAAGTTTCAATAACTAAATCTATGCTTTAATCCCAAGAGAAGACTGTATATCTTTCTCTGACTCACGCTGAGGATCCTGTAGCTTAGGTTCTCCTTGTCTCTCCTATGTCTCAGCAACTATAGTCCTCAGTTCAGAGCCTCATCCAGAGCAAGCACCAAGGAACCAATAATAATAATAATTATTATTAATAATAATAATAATGGCATATGAAAGTAAAAGAGAACTCTTTAGAGAGGTGAAGTAGCAGGAAACACAGAGGAGGAGTGGAAAACGAGAGTGAGAAGTAAATATGATAGAAAAACAGTACAAGCCAGGCACTAGTGACTCATGCCTGTAATCTTAGCTACTCAGGAGGCTGAGATCTGAGGATCATGGTTCAAAGCCAACCCATGTAGAAAAGTCCACGAGACTCATCTCCAATTAACCACTCAGAAAATGGAAGTGGAGCTGGGCGCTGGTGGATCATGCCTATAATCCTAGCTACTGAGGAGGCTGAGATCTGAGGATCACAGTTCAAAGCCAGCCCAGGCAGCACACTCCGTGAGACACTTATCTCCAACAAACTACTAGAAAACTGGCAGTGGCATTGTGGCTCAAAGGGTAGAGTGCTCACCTTAAGCTGAAGAGCTGAGGGGTAGTGCCCAAGCCCAGAGTTCAAGCCCTATGACTGACCAAAAAAAAAAAAATGGAAGTGGAGCTGTGGCACAAACTGGTAAAGCACTAGCCTTGGGAAAAAGAGCTCAGGGATAGCACCCAGGCCGTGAATTCAAGCCCAACAACTAGCTACAAATTACATATGTGTGTGTGTATGTGTATGTGTGTGTGTCTGTATGTGTCTGTATGTATATGTGTATGTGTGGATATATATATATATATATATAGCATAAAGATTGCATAATCAAACCCAATAAATAATGTCTGAACAAAGGAGATAAGGGAATAAAGTATAAAGAGTTTAATAAAGGGGAATGAATCAGATATAATCAGTATATTATACACATCTATGGCAATGTGTCAATGAAACCCCTTTGTAAAATTAATGTATATTAATTAAAAAAGAAGCCATTAGCTGGGCGGTAGTGGCTCATGCCTGTAATTCTAGGTACTCAAGAGGCTGAGATCTGAGGATCACGGTTCAAGGCCAACCTGGTCAAGAAAGTTCGTGAGACTCTTATCTCCAATTAACTACCAGAAAACCAGAAGTGGCACTGTGGCTCAAAGTGGTAGATCACTAGCCTTGAGCTTAAGAACTCAGAGATTGCATGCCCAAGTCCAGAGTTCAAGTCCCATGACTGACAAAAAAAAATGCCATTAAGTCTGAGTCCACTAAGGTTCTAGGACAAAAAGTACTCATCAGCTTCTATAGTGAAGTCACTGCTTCTATCAGACCTAATGCTAAAGATCCCAACATTAGTCTCTACAAGACATAAACACAAGTGAAATTCATAAATCTCATATAATCAGCCTAAAAGCATGTACAGTGCATACAATAGTTCAATTTGCTAGACAAGAAAGTGCTTCCTCCTCAGGCCTGCAGCCCTTTCATTGTCTTACCTTAGTGTTTTCATACTTCTCTGAGGAGGGATGGTAAGGAAGGAAAGACCAGCTATATGGAGAGTCATCACTATAATTTGAAGATATACCTTGAAAGAGGAAAGAAAGCCATTAAGCAAAACATGAAGGGTCTTTCAATGCCTATTGCCCCAAATTAAAACTTTGTAAACAAGTAGAGCCTCCTTTCTTTGGGCCTCAGTTTTCCTCAATTATGAAATCAGGAGCTCAGGCCCGATGATACATTCCTACTAAAGCCAACTCTCAAGATCTCCAGTTGATTTCCCACTTCCTAAGCTCTTGTTTGTGCTAGATTCTTCAGAAATGACCCAAAAGGGAACATCAGCCAGCCTGTTAAAGCTCCTTAGATCCAAACCAGAACATCCTCAGCCAGCCACCTCCCCACCCCCAACACACACACACAGCAGAAACATCGGCATCACTATAAGACAGGGGAGTAGAGGGTGGCTCAGAGAAAGCTCAGCCCACACCTTGCCCAGTCACAGTTAGATATTAGATGAGTCATCTCAAATTTAAACCCATGCCTTCAGAATCGAAATTCAAGTTCTCAGTTGTGAAACCGAAACCCAGCCCAAAGCTAGCTACAAGGAAACATAAAGCCATGGATGGTTTTATTTTTTAAAAAAAAGGAAAGACTACTAGCTGTCAAAAACATAGAAGTATGCTAATTAAAATGGTCATTTAAAGCTAGGTGCACTGATGGATCACACCTATAATCCTAACTAGTCAGAAGGCTAGATCTGAGGATCACAATTCCAAACCAGCCCAGGCAGAAAAGTCCTTGAGACTCTTTATCTCCAATTAACCACAAACAGCTGGAGTTGGAGCTATGGCTCAAGTGGTAGAGTGCTACCCTCAGGGACAGCACCCAGACCCAAAATTCAAGCCCTCTGGAAAAGGAAAAGGAAAGGTAAAAAAAGGAAAATGGTCATTTAAAAAGTACAGACCTTTTGAGGAACCTCCACACTGCTTTCCAGAGTAGTTGAACAAGTTTACACTCCCACCAAAAGTACAATAGGGCTCCCTTTTGGCAAAATCCCCTCCAGCATCTGTTGTTAATTCAATTTCTAATTATAGCCATTCTAAACTGGGGTGAGGTGGAATCTCAATGTTGTTTTGATATGCATCTCTTTTATGGCCAGAGAAATTGAGCATTTCTTCATGTGTCAAATGGCCATTCTTATTTTCTCTTCAGAGAAGTCTGTAATTCTTTAGCCCACTTATAATGGGACAGTAGTTTCTTTGGGGATTTTGTTGTTGAGGGATTTAATTTTTTGAGTTCTAAGTATATTATAGATATGAGGCCCTTGTCTGTTGTATAGCTAGTGTAGATCTTCTCCCAATCCATGGGCTTTCTATTGATCTTACTAGCTATGTCTTTTGCCGTGCAGAAGCTCTGCAGTTTCACGCAATCCCATTTGTCCAAACTTTCTTTGATTTGTTGTGTTTCTGGGTCTTTATTAAGAAAATGTTGGCCTGTGCCATGAAGCCCTAGGGTTTCTCCTATTCCTTCCTGTAATGTTTTCAGGGTGTCTGATTTACTTCAAGGTCTTTGATCCATTTGGAGTTGATTCTGGTGCAGGGTGATACATAAGGATCTAATTTCAGTTTTCTACATGTTTTAGCCAATTCTGCCAGCACTATTTACTGAAGAGGCTGTCCCCTATGGCCCAGCAATCCTACTTCTGGGCATTTACCCCAATGATCACCAACAAGACCATAGTAAAGCTACCAGCACAACTATGTTTATCACAGCATTATTCATCAAAGCTAGGATATGGAACCAACCCAGATGCCCCTTAGCAGATGAATGGATCAAGAAAATATGTGTGTGTGTATGTACACACACTATATATACATTATTTAGATAGATATATAGATACATAGATATAGATAGTGGAATTCTATGCTTCCATCAGAAAGACTGACACTGCCCCATTTGTTAGGAAATGGAAAGACTTGGAAAAATCATATTAAGTGAAGTGACCCAGAGAAATATAGGTTCCATGCTTTCCCTTATTTGCAATAATTAGTATATGTCTAAGATAATCTTCTCAGATGAGCAGAAAAGCTCAAAAGCTATGTACATATGACAATATAAGATGATGCTAACTAAGCAAAATGAACCCCAAGATATGCACACAAGAGTTCTTTCTTTGTTGTTGTTGTTTGTAACGTACTATGCGATTTTTTGTTTCTTTGTATGTTTTTCCTCCTGTGGTATATTCCTTTTGTCACTGGATTTGATTTTGGTGCCTTGCATCTTGTATGTACATTTATCTAATTTGGGAAGGGGAAGGGGAATAACAAAATGCTGAAACAAGGACACAGGATGACCCATTGCAACAATGATACCCACAAGACAGTATGTTGGAAAGGAACTTTACAACTTTAGGGGAGGGATGAGTTGAGGAGGTGGGGAGGAAAGGGATAGTAAAACAAAGGAGAAAAACAAAGGAGGGGGTAGCAATGCTGAACAAGTAATGTACTCATCACCTTACTGATGTAACTGTAACCCCTCTGTACAGTAACTTTACAAGAAAATAATTTTTTCAAGTACAGACCATGTGGCTTATCTACATATATGAAAATCAAGCAGCCTGCTGAATGTGTTTTGAGGAGGAAGAGTGGTGACAGAGAGAAAGGAGGTTGATGGGGAAACATGGGTGACATGTGTGGCAATGTCACTGCCCCATACAACATATGCTAATCAAGTAACTTTTTAAATTACACAAGTGTCTTTTAACTAGGGAATTACCCAAGACAGAGTACACATAGTTAAGGTGAGGATTGCAAGGAGAATGTTTAGAAGTCAGTGAGATTTGTGAGGGATCTATAGGAAAGCCAGGAGGATCAGAGGGGCATGAGAGGCAGGAGAAAGACCACACACAACACAGTGGTCTGTTGCGGCCTCCAATCAGGAGCACCAGAAGAGGTTCAAAGACAAGAATCACTGAATAAAGGGCTTATAGACAGAGCAATCAATCATGGTGGAAATGATTTTAGAAGGTCAAGGGTCACACGCTGTGCCTTAGCACCTAGCAGGCTTGTGCAAGGTACCTGTGTGGTATGAGCTCAAATTCTACCTCACGAAATGAGGACGATAAAAAAAATCGACCTTGTTTGCTGTTCAGAGGATTCAATGAACAGCCAGCACAGTAAATGATACACATCTGACAATCCATGATGCTACTGTCATCCATGAACAGGCCCAAACATGACAAAATGATCTTGAGAACAGATCTAGTTGAAAACTGTTTCCTCAAGGACTGCAGCAAGATTTTGTTTTCTAGCTAGGATACCACACTTAGAATCTAGTTTCCAAATCTAATCATCAGGAAGAATATGAGAGTAAGCAACAGTAACAGGCCTCAGTTGGCTTCCCTTCCCCAATACAAGCTCCACCTGCTGCTCTACTTCCTCCTCTCTCTAAAACTCACTTCCCTCCAGCTGCCTCCAAGCAAAGGGTATAGTGGCTGGAGCACCAAGCTATAAGAAGTTTAATTGATGAGCTTTTGGCCCCATAATTTCTGGTCGATTGACATATTTCAACTGAATGCTATGTTCATGGGCTCTGGAAGAAGGTTATGAAGCCTGCCAGTATGCAACAATTTACAGACAATTTAGTAGAGAAAGAGAATAAATGGAATACAGGTAAAAACAATGTACAGGCGTGTGTGTGCGTGTGCGTGTGCGTGTGCGTGTGCGTGTGCGTGTGCGTGTGTGTGTGTGTGTGTGTGTGTGTGTGTGTGTGTGTGTGCGCGCCTCTTCACTACAAAGGACAAAGTCAATAGTCTAGTCCTAGCTTATGGAAAGAGTTACCAAGGTTTCTTTAAATATACACAACTAACCAATAAAAATCCTCAAAACTGTGTTACACGTGTACATTAAAAACTCTCAGATCTCAGCCTCCTGAGTAACTAGTATTACCAGCATGAACCACTAGCACCCATCTCACCCCCCTCAAACAAAAGGGCTCTTGTTTATGTTTCAAAACTGTTGTTCCTATAATGAAGACAGCTAGTTAATCAAGCAGCTTTTTAAGATCAGAACTGAACAACCTATAGACCCTGGGTACCAGGTTACACTCCTCTTTGTGATGTAATTCAGAGAGTGAAGAGTAACCCCAACAAAACAGAGTGGGTTTACTGGACAAGTCCTCAGCAGCTCTGGCCACATGTAAGATCCTTCAGTGTGCTCATCCCACCCCACCTTTACAGACAGGGCACCAGTTGAGGCCCAGAGTGGACTCACACACCCAACACCGATACCTCACTAGCCAGTGACCTTCCCATCACCTAAGGAGACAAGGGACACTCATAGCATCACCTCCAGCTTCCAAAAAGAAGACAAACTTCCTTCCCTTTTTCACTTTCGGTAGCAGACATGAAGCCAAATTGGGAAGTGGATTATCTAGAAAGGCAGTATTGACTAAGAAGGCATCCAGCAGCAAAAAGCCTCTGCGAAAGCTGCTCAAACCCAGCAGGGGATTTCTGCCTCGAGGCAGGAAACCAAAGAATTCAGATTTCAGGCATGCAGCCGTACCAGGGTGAAAGACTTTCCCAACCGACATGGTCACATAGCCATTCTCCTTGAAGTACTGGGGGATGGTGGAGAAGTTTCCTGAATGCGCTCTCCAGTAGGAGTTGAAGTCATACAGGCGAGTGGTGTCAGGCCTCCGCCCAGTGAGGAAGGACACACGACTTGGGGCGCACACTGCTTGCTGTCAGGAAGCAGAAACAGAGGTCAACGTGATCACAGCAAAACCCATCTTCAATCTGTCAGGTAACTAGGCAACCTCCCCAGGTCCTCAGCAACAGCCTGGCAGCTGAGTCATGCAGTTTCCAAAGCCAACCAGTGGGATATGCGCCTCACCCACGTGCCAGACATTTTGCATCTTCCCAGCAAAAGAAGGCAGCAAAATCAGCCTAAGACCAGCAAATGTGTGTGTTTGTTCATATGTGATGGCATCTCCAGGTGCACAGAGAGGATGATATTCTTGGGGGTTACCCCAAGAAGGGCCTCAGGAAGGACAACCCTGGCCAGGAGGCTGGCATTCACCCTCCAGCTCAATAGGTAGAAAGAACTGTTGGTAGCATTCTACAACAGCAGAAATTCTGCCTTCTAAGAGGAAGTTGGCCAGGGCTATCATGCATATAAAAGGGCCTCCCTCCACCCATGAGAAAGGACCAGTCTCGAGGGCTTCCTTGGGAGCAGACCACTAAATTTCCTGGACCCTTGCTTTTCAGTGTATGCTGTCCTCTTCCAAGGAGGTTCCTGGAACAGTCAGCACCACCACTAGGTAACCAAAGGGCCACCAACTCCAGGTGCATGAGAAGACACACACCCAGGTCCTGGAACATACCTGTGCAAAGGCATTCTGGAAGAGAAGGCTGTGAGCTGCTAGCTGGTCGATATTTGGAGATCGCACTATTTTATCCCCATAACAGCCTAGGGAGGGTCGCAGGTCGTCCACAATGATGAGAAGGACATTCAGAGCACCTGTACCAAAGGGAAGGACCTCAGTGAAGTTACCTGAGAATCCCTCCCATCTCTCATTTCCAATACTGAGATACCCGAGGGAGGGGGGGAGGAGCAGTGTGAGGCTTTAGCCACTGCCTCCAGGGAAAGAAAAGAACGTAGTAAGAGGATGAATAAAGGGAAGGAAGGACGGTCGGAGTTGCATGAGAAAACAGAAGAGGGGAGGAAAGTTGGATGGACAAAAGGAAGAGAGGAGGGAAGACGGGAGAAAGGAAAAGAGGCGGAGTAAAAGGAATGAAGGAAGGAAGGGCAAGATGCATTGATGGGATGGAGTGACAGGAAAATACGAAGCGATCAAAAGGAGAGCGATTGAGGGGAAAGAAAATTAATGGAGGATGGATGGAGACAGGAAGAGATCCAGAGAGAAGGATGCGTAGGGGGTAAGCATGTGAAATGAGTGCTTGGCAGGATGCAGAAAGGAGAGGAAAGGAGCCGTGGGAGGGAGGAGGAGAGCGAGGCCAGGGTGGATGCAGGCAGGGAACGCGGGAAGGGTGCAGGAGCTTGGCAGGCAGAAAAGGCAAGGTAATCCGCGAGGTCGCAAGCGGCACCTGTGCTGGCGCTGGCCTGCGCAGCCGTTTTTAGAGCAGCGCAGACGGAGCTCAGGAGCAGACTAAGCCACAGTAGAAGCCAGGCTGGCGGCGTCAGGGGCATTTCTGCTTCCGGGCGGCGGTCTCACTGGTCAGACCAGCTGGAGCGGGAGGGCTCGGCAACCACCGCAGCCACCACCGCAGCGTTCGGACCCAAGAACACTGCTACCGGGCGGCCCAGGGCCCACAGGCCCGAGGCGCCCGGCAGAGCGCAAGTGCGCCTGTGCGCCTCTCCCTCGTCCCGCCTCCTTGGGGGCGGGACATGGCACTAAGGTCCACCACAGGGGGCGGAGCTGCGGACGGAGTGCAGAGTTGGCCTGGCTGCTTAGCAACTGCATTCAAACTAACTTCATTTCATGGAACATTCTTAAAGGACTTGTCTAATTTCACCAACAACTAAAGTATTTAGCGGAAAGCTTCATAAAATCAAGTCTCTGATTCTATATCTGACGCTGCAAGTTTGACACCCCTTTGTAGCTCAGGAGAGTTAATAGGGCCATCCAAAGCAATGACACCAATCTCTCCACATAAAACTCATACAAGTAAACATTAAATAAATGTCTGGAATATTAACAAAATAATGATTGGCTCACTTCCAGTTAAAATTAAGGAACCTAATACATGTACTTACTATCTCTTGAAGGTTGTGTTCATCTGAAAACTGACTATAAATGGAGTTAAGAAATAAAGTTCCAGAAATCTTGGATACACACCATATCAAGGCACGGTCTGCCCTTTCCTTTCATTAATGTATCCCTAGGGCCATCATTGTGTGTCTGGACTAGAGAGCACGATGGGAATTACTTGCATAAGAAAGAAGAGTCCTTTACTCCACTCAGACTGATGCAGTGACCACACTTACCCAGAGAATTGTATTTAGAGTGGTGGAGTCTAGGGGCATGGGAAATGGTGTCCTGAGGACGAGACTAATGAGAACATTTAACGGTCCTCAGCAACGGTGCACTCAAGAGTGTCTGTATGTAGATGTGCAAGGCACCACTAGAACTCATTGCTCAAGATGTATGAAAGCAGGGATGGATACAGCCACATGGAGGACACCCTTATCCTTGTGGTGGCAGTCACAGCCCTGAGTTCCCTGGGACCTGAATGGAATTAAAATGAGTTATATCACAACCAGACTCTCTTGTTGCCCTCCCAATACAAGCGAAGCCCAAGGGACCCGGAGGAGACAGTCAGGGACTAAGCATCATGGCAGCCTTGATGTTTGCAGTTTTTCTATCCTGAATCACACACTGTCAACTATGTTGTAAGATGAAGTGGTTTTCTAATAGAAGAGGTTAAAGACCTGCCTCCCTCTGGAATCCTGTATCATCTTCTGAACAGCTATTCTCTTCATTTTCCAGCCAGTTCATTGCCTTGCCTTGGCTTGCCATTACTCACTTCCAGGCCCTTGCATTTAATTCTGGGATGAGATAAGCAGTGGTTGGGAGAAAGGGAGGACAGAGAACTAACTCAGTTAGGGCACACACATTGGGGAGAGAGGAAGGGAGGTATGTCTGGGATGGTGGTCACTGGGGTCATAGGTTTGTGACAATGATGAGTCTTGTGGGATTACAGATAATTCAACTCATGAGCTGACTTCAGATAACAAGGCTGTGTGCCAAACAGATTTTAGGTAGGAGCCAAGCAGATATGGGACTACAGCACTTGGCTTGGCAGGACCAGGAAACTAGGAGTATTGGTGAGGGTGGTATTGGACAGGTATGAAAAGTAGTTGGACCCAGACTGTCATTCTACTAAACTAGTTCATTCACCACAAAGACCCAACATAACTAAGATGGCCTTATGTCATCTGTGGGCTCTTCTAAGCAGTAACCACACACAATGCAGTCTGTGCTTTTCTCTAGATATCCTTTTGTATGCCATAAGCAACCCAAAGGCTCAATGAATGGATCCAAGACATGCTGGCCCCTTGTGTTTTGTGTACTGTGGAGCAGGGCATCAGTGACTCACGGCGACACATAGAAGCAGAACACTGTGGGATCAGTGGGATTTCAGGGTACTTGGCAGATGAGTCACATCGTTACGAGGCTTAAGTGCTTAGGTATGACATGTGTCTGTGTTAGGTCCAGGGAGCTAGAAGAAGATAAAGTTTGGCTGCCTCTCCTTCCAGCAGTCTTTTGCTGGTGTTACGTTTGGTGGAGGCAAGCCCCTGGAGACTGTTAACTACTCCTGCTGAGGAGCCCACAGAATTGTACACCTGCCACCGCATTGATTTCTGGTGGGAATTGCTGGTGGAAAGGTTGGGGATGAGCCCAGATTCCAACCTTGCTCCAGAAAAGGGGAATAGTTTGGCCAAGGTATAGTAGTGGGAAAATGAGGATGTGCTGAGCATGGGACAGATGATTCTCCAATGTGCCCCAGGGTCGTGGCAGACAGTGTGTGCTTCCGTTGTCCTGTGAGCTGTTGAGTGTGCACACACCGAGGTTCGCCAAGAACATTATCTAAGGGGTCAGGAGGGCCAATGGGCCAGGAGTCACTGGCTCTATGTTCCATAGTAGAGTTTTCACATAGGCACGAGCAAATATTCACTAAGTAAATTCCAAAGAGGAATCATCAATCAGAGCTGGGTGGGTGCATGGAGTTAAGATGACTGCCTGGCTTCACATGTGTGCTTAACATGGAGCAGCCTGGGCAGTCTGTTCACCTCAGCATGGATGAAGCCTTGTAGCAGCAGCTGTCACCTGGAGTGCTTAGGCATCTTACACTGTCTGTAGGTTTACCAGCTGTAACTGCCATCTTAAGTGTACAGAAGGGACCTGATTGTCACTTGGTTACTTGTACTGTTCCATGGATGTTGGACCTTCTCCTTTTCATGTCTGGAGCCTCTATGTGCCTTACTAGACAGCCATGAGCACTGTTTAGAATGCCTCCAGTGTCCAGAAGATTCATCTTGCTTCTGTGGGCTTTTACTTTGTTGCATAGGGTTCATTGACATTAGTGTGGGGAACTAGAGAGTACCCAGAAATTTATCTCCTCGCAAGACCAAGGAGCTGGAACATCAAGCCGTGCTGACCAACCTGAAGTACAAGTTCTGGTCTATTATTTCCAGTCCCAGGTGGTTACTGGAGCCCTTATCTAGGAACTGGGTAAACGCTATATTCCAGGAAGCCATTCCTAAAAACTGATCTATTTGGGCCATGAAGGATGATTCGCTTAGATCTTTCAGGACAGCATTGCTCCCAATCAGCCAAGTCATGCGGTATCTATTCCTAAACATAGCTAAGTCCTATAAAAATCAGCTAGCTCTAAACGCCACAACCTTGTTAAGCAGTAACCAGTAAGTGCTGTTCCCACACTTAGGCGATGAGGTCACAAGAAGTGACCATCTTTGTGCATTTCTTCTTGAGGCTTCTTGCTAAGGTATCAAGTACGTTGTCTCTTTGGGAAAAGGAAAGGCTGCTGGGAAATGTCTCAGTGTTGTCCCAGACATTGGTTTGCAATGTTCTGCAGGGAACAAACAAATGTGCCGATGACTGTTGCGCCTCTTTGAGTCAAGCTTCATGGAATGGTTGAACAGCATCCCGGGGGCATGTGTGAGGCCTAGGACTGGACACTGTAGGGTATCAGCTGAGAGTGAGCAGCCCGCAATGGCCTGAGGTATCCAGGTTAAAGAAGACATTACACTTGGAAACAGAGCAGCCATACATCCTTTCTCTTGTTTCCACTACATAGGAAATTTCCCCCTGAGATTATGAAGCAAGTACTATTTGTCTTATAGCAAATGTTCTAGTGAATGCGATCTATAAGAATCCTGGCCTACCCCGGTGCTGGTGGTTCACACGTGTAATCCTAGCTACTCAGAAGGCTGAGATCTGAGGATCACAGTTCAAAGCCAGTCCAGACAGGAAACTCCGTGAGACTCTTATCTCCAATTAACCACTAGAAAACCAGAAGTGGCGCTGTAGCTCAAGTGGTAGAGCGCTCGCCTTGAGCTGTAGAGGTGAGGGACAATGCTTAGGCCCAGAGTTCAAGCCCCACAACTGACAAAACAAAAAGAATCCTGGCCTTCCCGATCCCCTACCCTGTGGGAGTGACTGAAATGTACTGTCCTGTGAGCCAGGAGATGGCAATGATCCATGTCTTGTTGGATGGGCAGTTTGCAGTCCTGAAGGATCTTGGGAGTAGAACTCATTAGCTGGTAACCAGACCTTCCTGGCAGTGTTGATTGGGGAGCATCCATGAGGGAGCAATCCCCTGCTTCAAGATACCCAAATCATTAGTGAGATGACTCTCCCTGTCCCAGATGAGGACCAGGCCTGACCCCAGGTAAGACCCAAGGGTCTTACCTGCCCTCAGCCCTGTGGAATCCTCTACTGGCAATGCTGCTGTTCAAACAAATGACATCAAGAGGAAGCAAAATGGGAGAGGGTATATGCCAATAACTCGTGAGCAGTAAGGAAGGTTCCAAACAACACAGACTCAAGAATATCATTTAGTTTGTTTATTATCTGGTAAGATGTTTGGGGACTTGTCTTAAGATGAAAATTGCTTCCTCATTAGAAATTGATTTTATGGGCCTTTAGCACCCAACAACTTCAGGGCTCTGCATTGACTTTGAAATGTTCACAAAGGTTACATTTTTGTAAACTCTGGAGCACTTTTCCTCCTCCTCCTCCTATTGCTCGTCCTCAGGATCTTTGTCATCATCCTGAGGCTCATCTGGGGTTATGAATAGCAGTGAACCCAGTAGAAAAGAGCAACAGATGTTATACAAATCCATCATATACTGCATATCAGGAACTGACTGTGATGTGCTAGGCACGTCCTCACTGCCTTTGGTTTCACAGTCAGGCAGAAGCTCAAAAAGGTTGTTCGCTGAGGTGCCTTCTCCACTAGAATTTTTTGGTTCCTGAGGGCAGGTGTTTCTCGGAGGAATGCCACGGAAATATAATGCTATATCCTCCCTGGATCCTGCTTCATTGAGGTACTCCCTCTGGGGATCTCGGTTAATTTCATGCTTGGCATCCAGCTGGAAAGCTGTGGTCTTGGCCTCTTCCTTACTTTCTTTCATCAGACTGGTTTTGTGTGTTTCTTGCAGATCAATGTGTCTATTATTTCTTTTAATGCAGATGTTTTTAACAAGATCCGGGTTGTCTCTCCGAAAGTTGGAATTATGGTATATCTGTAACAAAATGAAATATTTCTTTCTTACATAACATAGTCATTGCTTTCTTCCTTTCCTCAATCATAAACCTGTTTGCGGGCAGGTATCAATCAATCCACCCCTCAATAAGAGCTCACTAAAGATAAAGGGTTTGTAGTTTAAGGTGGCAATACATGGACAGCACACTAAGATTCCCATCAAACAGAAAATGAGAGACAAATATTTTTAACTTACCATGACTTTTCCTTGCTCTTGAGCCTGAACTGTGGAGTTGTTGGGACGGATTTTGGTGAATTCATGCAGATTCAATAGGCGAATGAAACTCTTCATGGTTGAGGCATGAAAAACTTTGTTTGTGCCTTCAAGGTCGAGAACTTCCTTCTGAAATTGTTCGGCATGGATAATTACATGGTCTCCTTCTTCGTTCCAGGTCACTGATTTAAAAGCCTGGTTCTCTGCTATTAGCCATAACTTTCTTGGAAAGGAGAGGTGGGCATCAATGTTGTCTTCTTTATTGGCCTCATTCGGTGTGTTCTCACTAGATTCTAAGTTAGCTTGGGTTGGCATTTCCTGGATTATGGCTTGGTTTCCTTGTTCATCCATACTGTCTCTTGAATCCAGGGTGGGATTAGGAAATGGCTCTGACACTTCACCTCCTGGTGGCTTATCGACAACAGGTGGAACCAACTTCTCTTCAAGGTCTTCTTGCATATTCTCATCTTGCATAATCTTATCCATGGCACTACACAGGCAGTAGAAGCATTTTGTTTTGAAGACTACTAGTTGCTGTCCTTGTAGGACCAGAAGGTCCTTAGTCTCACTGGCCTGTCTTGAAAAAGCTCTTGACTAGTTGTATAATGTAGTTACTGGGGCAACCCTCTGCTGACATCAGTCTCTTTGTGTGTCATATTTTGTCACAAACATGGGCTACAGCCAATCAGGAGATGACATCTTGTCCAAGTGTGGGAAGAAGGAGGGGCGGCAGACCCCAGGTCTTTCCCACTCTCCAAATGTACAGATAAGCCTTTGGAATTCCCAGACAAGTCTCCTGAGTCTTCTGACTAGCACAGCAGGGTCACAGGTCCTAGTCCTGCCTGAGTTGAGAAATCAAGATCCCATTACCCCTCCCTCTCCTGATGAAGGGGGAGGCCCTTTTCTGCCTCTGCTGCTTTAGCCAAAAGCCAGGCTCCAGTGAATCTAACCAAGGTGCTATTTGGTCTACCTAGGTCAGACTGGTTGCTGGATATCGGTTCCTCTAAGGTAGATTTTCTGAACTTGGTTGGTCACCCATCTATTTTCCTGACTCACTTCCAGTATCTGTCCTACTTTGCCACTGTTTGCTTGGCTCAACTTTAGATGGACCCAAGGGAGTGGTGTATGTTATTGCCACTTGGTCTGTGTCCCTACCATAGGAGACCATACACTCTTGGGCAGACAGGAGAGCTCTTGTTCATCTGTGATAGTGTTATTCCAAGATCTGGAGTAGAATGAAATGGCCATAGCCTCAGCTGTGCTTTGAGATCCAACCTGATCTCTGCTTGTCTCCAAATCTCATTTATCTGTAGATCCCCATAGCAATGGCATTGATTTTCATTTCATTTCTGAAGTCCAGTCTTCACAGAATCTATCCTAGGGAAAATTGATACTGATAGGCTAGGCATCACTAATCCACAACTAAAATTCACCAGTGTGCATGTGAAAAGCAGAGAGCATGTGTGTGGCTGGGTAAAAGACCACAATGGCATAAATGATGGTCGCTGCCCACATAGATGAGAGGACATATTATACTTTTTAAAATTTTTTTCACATACTTATGACCTAGGTGTTGTCTCTTACCTTTTTCACTTAGGATGATACTCTACCATGTGAGTCACAGTTCCATTTCTGACTTTTAGGTACATAGTTGGAGATAAGAGTCTCACATACTTACCAGGATGGTTTTGAACTCAGCCTCTTAAGTAGCTAGGATTATAGGCATACGCGACAAGTACCTGGCCATATCACTGTTGTATTCCTTTTGTGCTGGTCTTAGGACTTGAACTCAGGGCCTGGGCACTGTCCCTGATCTTTTTCACTCTGGGCTAGTGAACTATCTCTTGAGGCACACCTATACTTCTGACTTTCGGTTCGCTAAATGGAGGTAAGGGGCTCACAAACATCCTGACTAGGCTGGCTTTGAACTGAAATCCTAAAATCTCAGTTTCCACAGGTTGAAGAAGTAGGTCACTTAAGGCAAGTCTTTGAAGGTTATACATGTTCCCCAGTCTTTATCTACTTACTATTTACCATGAGATGAAAAGCTCTGTGCATTTTGTCCTAGTCACTACTAGGCAAACTCCAATAAACATATTTTCCATTTCTCTAACTGACACACAACATATAGACAAATGAATAATAATGGAAAGACAGAAAGATACATGGACACATAGACGAACAAACAGACAGAAGGGCAGGCACATCAACAGAGGGATGGATGTCCAAACAAACAAAAAATAAGAATGGAGGATGAAGGGACAGAGAGAGGGATGTAATGGCTGACATTTGAATAAATGGCCCATTGAAATAAGGAGATAAAAACAAAATTTTCTCCATTATGACAACTCTGGTAATAGCAAGGAAACTAGAGTCCACATCGAGCATAAGAATAGTGCCTATGGGACATGTCTAGGAAATAAGATGACATATTTGATATGAGTAACTGAGATATGTATAATATAATTTCTAAAACCGATGAAACATAGTCTCTGTCCAACATGGAACAAATGGAATGAGTTAGAATAAGAAAAATGATATGGACTCCAAGAACAAGAAACTGTAAAGTGGAGTTAGAGTACAGGACTAGAGTGAAAAAGTGAAGAATAGAGCTCCAGAGGTCCTGAGTGCTAGCCTGAGTACATAAGATACATAAGTGAAGTAAAATGATTAATATTTCATGATTTACCTTTCAATGTGAAAATAAAGAAGAGTCATCATTCAATGGATTCAAAACCCCACCTGCTTTCTAAATGACAACACAGTGGATGAAGACTAATACAAAGACAGAAGAGTGTATTGGTAGAGTGGGCTGAGAAGGGAACAAACAAGGAAACTCATTTTCCAACTTGTAATCAACAGCAATCATCATGGGCAGGGGTATGAAATGGAACGTAGGCCAGAATGATTCATGAAAGGTTTCTAGGTGGACGTTTTTTGCCTCTGAAATGTTACTGAATTTCTTGACTCAGTGAAAGAAGTGAAACAATCAATAGGAAATGTGGAGCAAAAGAGAAGAACTAAGAAGATTGCCTGTTTTAAGACTATCCTAAAATGGAACAGAAGAGATGTAGGTAAAGAAGTCATTCAAGAAACAGTAGACACCCAACTTTGAAACATCAAAATCATGAGTCAGACTGATGGCTTACTGGGACATCAGCAAAATAATGAGACACACTGAAATAGTCATATACCTTTGGGATATCAAGGATGAAAAGATAATAATGTTCCAGAGACTAAACCAGCTGTGTAAAATTTTATTCAGAAAATCTACAAATAAAGTTCTAAACAAAATCAATAAAGACCATGGAAAGAGAAGAAGCAATTTTTCAGAAATGCAAGCATTTACTACTGGATCTGCTATTCAAACTTGTCTTACAAAGACAAAGAAACTCAAATGATTCTCTAAATCTATAGCATTATCAGTGCTACCACCACCTGAAACAACTAAATGATTATTTAGAGAATCATGGAGCCATGGATGGATGGATGGATGGATGGATAGAGAAATAGATGTGTAGTTGGGTGGATCTACAATATACTGATAGATATACATATGGATGGATGGATGGATGCACAGGTGGACTGATGAATGGATGGACGGACTAATGGGATGACAGGTGGATAAATGGGTGGTTGGATGATTGTACAGATGAATGGACAAATGGTCCATCAATCCAAGGAATGTAGTAATGGATGAAATTACAGACACAAAATGTCGAGGGGAGGGATAGACTAATGGACAGACAATAGACTGATTAACATATCTAGACAGAAGGACAGAGAGATTTGAATGAGTGATAGGTTGATGAGTGCATTGATAAGTAGGTAAATGGATATCCACTATAATAGACTTACAAATGGATAGAAATAACATGAAGAACAATAGCCAGGAGGATGTGGAAAGATACTACTGATTAACAGAGTAATGTGTGGACAGACATGAGGATAGGATGACAGACAGACAAACATAACATTGATGGATGATCAATGAACAGATAGACGTCAGATAGAGAGACAGACAGAAAGTTGGCCAGACAGAAGGATATAATGACAAAGTGATGAATAGAGAAGCAGACAGTGGGACTGATGACAGAATACCAGATGGACAGAGAGATGGACAGACATATGGGTGGACTGACAGACAAAATAAGAAATGGGAAAATGGATGGACAGACACATGACAGATGAACAGCCAGAATGACATACAAATGGACAGGCAGATGGAGAGAAAGACTGACGGATGGATGGACAGACAATCAGACAGATGGATGGACCAAAGGATAGACTGACAATGAATGGACAGAGAAATGGGAGGATGGCCATGCTGATGGATGAATACAGAGACTGACAACAGATAAGCAGACAGATGAGTGGACAGATGGAAGACAGATGGACAGACAGTATTCAGACAGGCAGACTGATGGTCAGATGGACACATGGACAAATGGGTTGACAGATGGATAGTCAGAAAGATGAATGGATAGTCAGATAAACACACGGGAAGATGGAGAGACATACAGGCAACAGATGGGCACACAGATGAGTGGACTGACCCATAGACTGTAGATGGATGGGCAGATGTGAGTAAGATGGAGTGGTGAATGGACTGATGGAAAGAAAATGGATAGAAAAGTACACAAACAGAAGGATGGATGGATGGGTGGAAAACAGATGCCCAGACATACATCAAAAATGTAAACATAACAACAGATAGATGAGAAGATAGATTGACAAACAGGAAACAGATGAACAGGCAGATGTCAATAATGATAGATGGCAGGATGGACAGACACCTGGGTAGATCAACTAATGGTCATAAAAATGAACAAGCAGATAGAAAGACAGATGATCAGCAAACAACAAATAGAAGGAAGGAACCAATGACACATAGAGAGATACACAGATGTATGAACAATCGAAATATATAGAAATAGCAACACAAAATATTGTCCATCATGACAACTCTGTAGTAGTCCCAGAGACTTAACAGTGCATACTGTAGTACAAGGTAAGAGCCTATGGAAGTTCTTTAGGAAATAACAAAACATCATTTTATGGGAATCTCAGTGAGGTATTAGGAAAAGTGAGGTATACGTTTAATACATAGTGTATCAAAACCCCACCAATCTAAAACTGTCTGATATGAAACAAGCAAATAAAAATGAAACAGGAATGGAGTTAATTTGAATACAAAAAGCGAGATGGACTCAGGGATACACAGAATGAGAAACTGTAAAGTAGAGGTATGACTCATATGGTAAAGCATAAGAATAGATGGAAAAGGCCAAGACAAGATGACCAGAAGTCCTGAGTTCTACCCTGAGACATTAAGTCAAAGAAGGTAAGTAAGTGGAGTAAAATGATTAATAACATATGGTTTTTTTCTCAATATAAAAATAAAGAAGAAGCCATCATTCAGTGGATTTCAAAGCCTGCCCACGTTCTCAATGCCAACACAGTGGATGGAGAACAATACAACTGCA